GTTGGGGAAGACGGTCCCATTGATCGGATCTCGGGCTTCGGCCATCCGAATGTTTAATTTCATCGGCGACTGTTTTTCATGCGATTCCTCTCGCGAGAAGATATCGTGACCAATGAATTACAGCGGTCGAGAGTTTACATAAGCTGCCATGCCAAAGCATCATGAATGATGAGCCCGATGGCGATGAATTCCAATCCGTTCGTTAATCCGTTCCCATGACTATTCGATCTTGATGTCGAACACAGGCCATTCGGAATTTCCTCCAAGTCTCCCATGGTTCCGCTATGTGCAATGACTTCTCGAGCTCGATTTAATTATATTCTTGATCGAATCGATGCTTAAATGTAAGTGTCCCTAGAGACAGTCTGCTCCCCGATCCATTCGAACCATAAGCTATGGATCTTTGGTTGGCGCATTTTCGAATCCTCGCCGGATGAGCTCCTTCAAACCTCGGCGTTTTTCTCCCGCGAATGTGTCCAAGCCATCGGTGGATCCGCGATATATGGCACCATCGCAACACCTACGAGAACTTGGTCGGACTCGATGAAATTAGGGAAGGAAGGGGAAAGTAGAGGATACTGGTCAGCGTAAGACTCGCTGAGTTCCGAGACTCCACCGCGAACGGGTACAATCGGCGCTGGCCACGGTCGTGTCCCGAAGGGGAGGGAGGTTCGAAATATCGAAGCTTCATATGCTTTCCTTCACACGTACCGAACAGAAAGTCCTTCTGTGATCGAGTCTCGTCACCTAGCCGACTTGAGCGCTTGTCGGCTGTCGATTCGGACCCCGTGGGGACGAGTTTTCGACCTTGATGAAGTTTCAAAGAGCGTCTTTGGTATTAGAGCGAATATCTGCGCTGGCCATTCGATCTTCATTCGTTTTCAGCTCTGTGTGAAGACGTGCTTATCTTTCGAGTCTAGAATCAGACCCTCTGTTCCTTGGCAGTGAACCAGGGCTTTCACAAATGAGAGTCACTGGACTGTTGTCGGAGTCGAACGTGAAGCAAGGCTCGCGCTGAATGGGACACTGTGTGCTGGCCTTTCGGAGCAATAATCATGGAGAAAATGAAACAAAAAGGGATATTGTCCCTGCGTCGACACATATATTTAGCGCAATAATGATGGCTTCAGTGCAATCTTGCCCCCGCTGCAAGCTCTACTCAGAAGGATGAAAGATCCGAATTAGGATTCTATTTCTTGTTCCCGAGCGTCGGTCTGTTCTCGGAAAATTGACGTTCACGCGCACTTCGCGGTTTCGATACGAGAATTTTGAAGTGAATATCACTGACATGAGCCACTTTCGGAATAGCGATACCTGATCGGCGGAAGGTTAGAAATCTTCGAGTGAGTCCTAATCGTCGCGGCTAGGTTCAGCGCTCATCTTCGGAACCACGAGGGACTTCGGTGCTACATTGTCGACAGCGAAAGAGGCGCGTTACGATGTTACGAAGCGACAAAAAAGAACGACCGGGGAAAGTAGGAGAATGGAAGCGATCCAAGAGCGAACAGACGAAAAATGAGAAACAATGGCTCTTCACGAGACAGCTCTGCTCGTGTTCGATGTCACTTCACTCGTCAGTCAAAGCATGTAAACATGATCACGGGTTGATACAGCTCGCCTCAGAAAGGCACACGCGCCGATGAAAGTTTGGAAAATGTTCGAGAGAGGAGCGCGGGAAAAGAAGAAAGAACATCTCCTCAACGGAACTGGCGGTCAAAATGCTCAAGCGACAATATTAGGACGAGGAGAATAGAAGAACGCCGAAAAGAGCCGATTTCCAGAGAATTCGCCGTCTTCATGTGTTGCGGTTTTCTCCTCCGGCATGGGGTTTCGGTCCACCTGTCACTCGCTCATTGTGAACAGCTTATGGCGATTTGTGTTGAAACAGTCAGCGTTGCGCTCCGCTTCAATCAGAAGCACTTTTACAAACACCATAAACAAGTTCCTGCTGGACAAACGGTTCAACGAAAGCTCGGCGTTTTCCAATAGAGAGTCAGTCGATTGAAGTCTCGCATTGCAGTGCCGCTGAAACGGACCCGATAGGCGGATTGAATTGGTTCTGTCGCTTACGCCGGCACCCACTCGGGGTTTTTATTCCCCCGGGCTACGGAGCGGTCTGGATCGCAGACGGCGGTCTTAGATTGGGAATTCGATTGTAGATGTTTCGATTTGCGACAGCTTCGAACGGTCGGGCTTTGCGCCGACGGATATTCTGAAAGAATTAGCCCTCTTCAGCGAGACGCTGTTTGCCCATCAAGTGTTATCTGAGTCTGCCATAATGTAGCACATAATGAAACCATGAGGTAAAGAGCTGAAACCCGGCTTAGGAGCTCCGGAGTGATTACAAGCTTACGAAAGTGGGGGTCACACGGCCGTATTCGGCTCCGCGATCCGAAGATTGGGTGAAATTCACTCATCGTATAGACTCAAATGGTGCACCTACATGAGAAAAAAATTGATGTTTCACCCGAAGGAATCTTAAGCCAGTGCGGGAATTCATTTATATACCTTGAAGATATGCACCCAAGGCTAAACGCTCTTCACATTCGTTATCGGCACAGTCACGAGAGAAAAAATTCCTCATCGGCACGGGTGTCGGAGCCTCTCAGTGAGGCGTCCGACGTTCGTGCAATAAGTGTGGGTCTTACCGCGACGGCGACGATGATCACTCACACTAGTGTCGAAAAGTATCGATGTCTTCCGGTCGACGTCGAATTTCCGCGGCGAAGCCGCTGAGTCGACTAGGGATTCCGATCAACAGGTCCAAGTTGCGTTCGGAAGATTAGCAGAGCAAGGTTCTACGCTTCATTCCCAGCAACAGTCCTTCGGGGGTCACACGCGACCGCTCTCAGAAGAAGGACATCCGAGCTGAATCCCCACGAAATCTAACGGATGACGATTGTGAATAACGAATGCCTTACCACGCGGAGGGGACTGCAGGTCTGGGATACCGAATTAATTACGCAGCGCCGCGCCGTTGCGAGGCGCTTGATCCGCGGCCTAGCGGGCTGACTGAGCCCGGATAGCGCGGGCGCATTTCTTTATGCAAATCCGGGGGCGATTTTTTTCGATATCGCACCTCTCTGTCATAATTTTGTCTTCACCTCAATTTTCTTTGAATTGTAATTCGTCTACCGACCGTCTCATTGAAAGGCGGATGGGCTCACCGCTTGAATAGATGAGCTTCAAGCACCTTCCCCTCCTCGCTTGTCTTGGCTGGGCAGCGGCCTCCCATAAACCGGATGGAATCGTGGGAGATGAAACTTCCTTTCGCCCACTTAGCCATCCGGCCGGCCTGCGGATGAACGCTGGGATTTCGCTTTGATTCTCTGATCTGAAACAACGGACTCCCTCAGTTAAGCCCGTTGCGACCACAACGAGTGAAAAATAATGCTTAAGCGTCTCCGGAAAAAGGAACGTCGGATAGTCAAGCAGAGGAAAGATGAAGTGTTTCGAACTTGATTCAAATCCAGGCCGGAAGCGAATGCGCTCTGCTCGACCCGATGGGCCGTCGAAACTGCCCCGGATCAGGGCGCGTTTCGAGCTCGGAAATCATCATGGGAAAGACTTGTTGGTTGAACTGAGCGTGACAATGGAAGAGTCAGAATCATGGTGCTTGAGTCTCAGATTCCAGGGTGCTCTTTCGCTCCTAGCTCGTGTTCATTCAACAGACGAAAAGCGTAAGAAGTGGGCATCAGGCCCTCTGAAAGGTCCTCGGGGAGCTCATTCCAAACTGTATATAGTTATAATCTGCAAGTCAGAAGAATGGGGCATTCACATGGCTTTGTCTCGGAAATAATGCCCCCTTTCGATATCGTTCTCCTCGCTCGATCACCCATCTTCTGCTAGGGCATTTTGTCTTGAAGTTCACTCTGCCCTGTGTTCAGTGTGAGAGGAGCTTATTCTTAATCATGGTTCGGTGATTCCCGCGCTTCCGCGTTTTCGCTGCGACGGTTAGCTTCTGCCGAAGTTTTCGGCAGTAATCTTTATCCAGGGATCCCAATCAATCATGGAAGCAGAATCAATTTTTGACTCGAAATTCTTCCCGGATCCATCCATCAGGATTCAAGTTCATCAAATCCAAGGTCATCACGTCTATCGCTACCGAATATCTCATCCGTGCGCCAAGTGATGAATTATTCGTCTCGTTCTCACGGAGCGATCTCCGTGTCAGAGACCCTACTCGCTGAAGATGCCAAGCTCGAGTTTCGGAATGGCCCTGACTACAATTCTTGAACCATTCTCGAGACGGGATTCACAAGCACAGATAAATCCTGACAATCCTAATTTGTCGAAAGAAGTCCCTCATCGGTATGACCCGCGGGAAACTTTGGATCTCTACCCCGATCGCTCCCGGACACCGATCTCATCTCGGTGTCTTCTCCGATTAATGATCCGTTTCCTCCATCACCCACCGCAAGAACCTTGAATACCGTTCTGTGACCGTGATCAGAGCGAGGGCTTTTGCCCACAGTGCTGCCTTCGATTGTCGGTTGCGTTCCGCGGTCTTTTCTCGCAGATCCGGAGACCGAAACCCGATCTGTTTATCCTTATCGAAGTACTTTTTTTCTGGCGGGTCGTTAGTATTTCTGATCCTGGTTGAATTTCACCGGATGCATCACCACCCCATCATTCTGTCACCGGCCGATCGGCGAATGCGGAAGTGTTTCCAATTGCAAATCCTGCCAGAAAAGCGCCTCTATTAGCCTCATCACTTTTCGGCGCTCATACGATCCGAACTGCTGTGGTTACATCCAGTAAGACTGATACAGAAAGATCGATAAATCGTCGCATTATACACAAGGAGAAATCCCGCGGCCTTCATAAAGAGGAATGCACATCGTAACTGAATGCTTATCGGAGAGCAGCGAGGCGATTTTGTTCAAGTTCGGATGGAATTCTGTGCAAAGTCAAGGGTGTAATAGATCGATAGTATGTGGTTCCGCTTCACAGCTCGCGAGATTATACGCGATCTCATGAATCTCATTTCATCCCCGCAGGACGTCGAGGCGAATACGGTTCGGCTGAAAGAACACGGCCAGGATGTCTTGGTGTTGCAGAAGAACGCGCAAGACGTCAGCAGTGGCGTCAACGGCTCCCAAAATCAAGCCGTGGCCAACATCCAACAAACTGCACCCAACGGTCAGCAAATGGTTGCCATATCCAACATTCCCTACAATGCCTCCCATTACAAGTAAGTCACGTTCATTCTCGAACGTACACGTAAATATTATACAGGAGCCCTTCAATGATTGATTGGAGATCGAATCAAATAATTCATGCCGCTCTGATTTCATAGTAATTCTGTCTTTCCGTATCAGACTCTCAAGAGGCTTTCCCCTCGTTACTGAGCGTTTGTTTCTAGCTCCGGCCAAATCAAAGAAAAATAATTCTTGGAAGCGGTGCAGATCACGCAGTCCGACGTAGGATTATGAATCGGATTGCTTCTTTGTGAATTCACATTGTCGATCTCTCATAGTCGCCGAAATACTCCCCTGAATCGAATCCTCCGATTGATGTCGAGATATTGGCTCGAGGTTGACGTCTCGATCGGTTGTTCTGATTGTTTATAAACTAAGTACCTCTATGTGGCATGATCCTACAGGCATGGGTATGTAAACTGTGACATCTAGGGTCTCTTACTTTGGGATATATTGGTTGCTCGTGTAGTTCTACTACATTCTCACAACGACTTTATCCTCTGAGAGAGTTATGGTGTGATTTCTGCCGCTCGATTCCACGAACTCTCGTTCTCGAGAAATCTCGAGCGTGTCGGTATGGAATATTGCCGATACCAGCCTGCACTGGCCGCAGTTTTTGCATCCGCCGACTATGCTCGGCCGTAAGGACCAGCAGCGGTAGAACTCGTGATCAGAAACGGCCTCTTTACGAGTGATGAGGTGTTGATTTCTGACGATGGTTCGCAAGTGCTCCCTCAGCCCGACGATGCAGTCAGCGATGAATCATTTAGACGAGCACTCAACGGGTGAAGTGACCGCCCTACGGAACCATCGATCCCACAGTGCAGAGGACAGTCGTCAGAATGATGTCAATCTAGATGAGCTCTGAGACCGTGAGGACACCCGTGTAGAGTCTCAAGTGACTAGTGACAGGTCCGGACGCCCTACGACTGACTGAGGGGGGACGGCACGTCCCGGCCTCTTTTTCCGGTGCCTGCAACGAAAGGAGTTTTCGCGTACCGATGCCAACTTCCCCGACTTCTCTGAGTCCTGGGACTCCCCCGACTTAGGAAGAAATTCGCTCGGGGGGTCCTGCCAAACACTTGCGGCTGACAGCAGGGAGAGATGCGGAGAAGAGCCGCTCAATATAGAGTGGCAGTGAACAGCTGGTCGTAATTTCTCGGCGGAATTCCTCTGCAGATTCCACGGTGAATCTTATCGATGTGCGAGGTCTCTGGAATTGGTGTCGCCGCAGAGAATCCTTCGTTCGACTCCCGCTTTCTTGCTCGGAGGCAGTGTTTGTGCTCGGTGGATCTTTCCGGTGTCTTTCTACTTTTTTGTGAGAAAACAAAACAAACATTTCTCATTGCGTCGATGCCGCAACGGTCAACAACTCCTGTCGAACGGAACATGCTCGTCGTGCTTGTTAAACGGAAGGGAGCTTTCCGGCGTCGACGACCACGGCGACCCTATACAAAAAGGTACCCGACCGTCACTGAAGGGCACAATGGGCTTCATTTCTAGACTGAACAGAATCAACAGCTGGGAGAAATGCGGAGGGAAAAACTTCCGAGAAGGAGAGAGTTCGCGTCGATGCCTTATTGAATCCGGGTTTCTTCTCAACCGCTCCGAGCCTCGGTTTCCGGCTCTTTGACGGGAATTTCACAGAAGAAAAGTGCGATTAGTTCCACCGGCACGTCAGCTGATCCGGCCGGATTGGGGCAAGGAGAAACGAGCAGAACGAGCGCGTTTCTCGAAAACCGTCTCCTTCGTCTACTCCTCTTGTCTGACCCACTGTCGATGCCGTGTTCGGTCGAAGTTGACCGCGTGATATCGATCCGAGCGAACATGTTGAATTCCTGTCGAGAATAATGGCTGCTGTTGTTCCCTGTTGGAGGAGCCGCGCGGATGTCGGCACGACCGTGGCTTGAGTATTGTGCTGAACAACGGCTTCCGGAGCGTCCTGAGGGGGCCAGCCTTGTCCCCATCTGAGCTTTGCGATCGATTCTGCCGGAGTTCCCCGAAACTCTTATCAGAAACCCCCAGCGATGATAATCTCACAGCTAGGCAATGTCAGGAAGACTCCCGATCATAATACCCTCGACTCCTGCCGTTCCTAACGGAGTCTCTCCCAGGCCACCCCGACTGCATTAAAGAATCGAGCCCCTCTTCTCAGGTACACGGTTATGGCGGGTACGCCACAGAAAATGCTGGAACATCTCCTCGAAACTCGCATCGGAGAAAGAAATGATGAAATGCAAAGTAAGTTCCGGGACGAACCTGGACCTGATCAGACAGAATTCCGCAAGTGAATTTAACTGCGTCGATCCGTATTCCGCAAGGGGTCGGGAGGGGCCCCGTGAATTTATCCGCTTGAATCCGCGCTCGGAGTTAATTGATGATGATTCTGCTTCAGTCTCCTCGAGTGGCACAGCGGCTGCAAGCGCGGCGGATTCTTTCCTGGAAGACTTCCTGCTCACTCACGTGATCTTCATGCCGTCACATGATCTCTGTCCGGAACTCATGCGTCACTACAGACTGGACGCCGTCAACCAACGACAGGTTTGTATGCTCGGCTTCTTGGATACGTAGACCTGAATCCGATAACCGAGCTCCCCGGTGAATATCTAATTCCGGAGACGGCCTGAGGTCATCTCTCCTCGGGGAAGGGGCCGGGCCGAGGTTTCCCACGAGACTTCGAGTCTTCGATCCTCCAAATCTGACCTGACCCGACGAGATCAGGATCCTTGACTCTTGGGGTAGATCATCCTGTGAGTCGTCTAGAGACAGTAACGTATAATTCTCTAAATGACAGGAGCGTGAGTTCATACTGGCCTCGAAGCGTCGCGTGGTGCAATTCACCGCACAATGGGCGGCGATCGTGCGCGAGCCATTCTATCAGGATCCAGTCATCCAGTGCTTTTTGGAAGAGCTTCTAAGTGCTATCGAAGAAGACCGACAGAAATACCTCGGTGCCCTCCAGGATCAGCTTTCGATCGTGCAGAGACTTTTCGAGATTGTTGACAAGTGAGTTTGCCGCGAGATGAGCATGCATTGAAACTCATGCCTTGTGGTGAGTTGCCGCAATGATTGATCTGTCTCTTCGCAGGTATCGCTCGGATCCTAGTATGACGAGTGGTCAGAAATGGAAGGTGGACACGAATGGTCAGATCCGCCATCTTTCATCTGGAAGCACCCAAACAGACGAGAATTCGCAAGAGCACATCATAAGAGCCATCAGAGATACCGACGAAAGTGAGTTTCACTCAGCTTGACTCAATAATCATGTCCGGAAGAAGTCCTGTTCCCTCATTCCCTCGCTCATAATGGGAGCGGAAAGAACACGGATTTCATCGTCTCGAGTTTGAACTCCTCTCTCCCATCCACAGTAATTTTCCGCGTCTACTGTGCGGATCACACGTACGTCACTTTGAAAACGGCCGTTAAAGCGACAGCGAACTCGATTAAAAAGCTGGCAGCGGAAAAAATAGCCTTGAAAGATGAGGTTATTCTCGTCGAAGTGAAAAGTAACGGAGAAAAGCTGCCTTTTAATGAGTCTGAAGTCTCTGTGCCCACCGGCCTAAGTATCAATGGGAGAATATTCATTTCTCCCATTGACCACATCGATGCACTCGTGAGTATTGACAACGCTTGAGGAGCGGAGAACTTGGAACGACCTTATCATTGGGAGCGATATTTTCCCGCGGTCCTTCGGGGATGCGAAGTCCTGAGTCAAAAGAGAGTTTGGAGTCAAGACGAGATGGGCTCATAAGTCGCCCTGGTGATACCATCGGTGGATTTCTCGAGTTCTTCTTCAGCTCGATAACGCTTGTGTTCGATTCTAGACACCCCTGCAAGAACAAGACGGGCCTAATGAAGGTACAGCGAATATCTTAGAGGCCTTGAGTTCCCAAGATATCGCGTACCACATGACCGTCTACGAGTGGCAACTCTTCACCACAGTCCACGAGGTAAGTTATTCTTCCCTACGCGTACCCGATCACGAGCGTTTCAACTTCGCTCTTTTCTTCGTTCGCCTAGAGCCGGACGAACTGGATCCTGCGGTCTCACGCGCTTCCCGCTCACGATCCGGTTTCGCATTTGATCCTGTCCATCCTGAAGTCAGTAAATTCCGAAGCTCCGAAGTGGTAGCTTGCAAATAACCTTATTCCTCATTCCATTGCAGTATGAATTGATTTATCAAGTGTTCGGTCGTAACCAGTTTCGGCGAATCATGTCCAATTTGGACGTCTTCCAGAGGAGATTCAATCAAGTTCAATTCTGGGTGGTAACCGAGATGTGTCTTGCCAACTCTTTGTCACGAAGGGTGACCTTACTTCGGAAATTCATCAAAATCGCCCAGCAGTGAGTTTGAATTTCCGCACCTGCGGATTTGACAACATGCCATTAGAGAATCGATCCGATCGTTGCTTCGTCAACCTTTTTCGGTAACCGATCGCCCAAGTCGGCCGCTCAGCCCGCTACTTCTTTGTCTGAATACGTTCCCTTCATTCGACAGTTGCCGTGAGTACCAGAACCTGAATGCACTATTTGCCATTGTAATGGGGCTTGGAAACGCCGCCGTATCAAGACTCGGCCAGACGTGGGAGCGACTGCCGTCTAAGCTGAGACGCAGTTTCGAAGAACTTGAGAACCTTATCGAGCCTTCACGGAATCACAAGCGATACCGTAATGCCGTAGCGAAGCTGCAGCCACCACTGGTACGTGTGGAGACTAATCCCTCATCACAAACATTCACCTTCTCGTTCTCCACTTTTGTATGCGTCTAATCGAGGACTAAATTCATGGACGACCTATTAGAGTGTGAGAAGAATGTTTCCGTCCTCGCGGAAGTGCAATCCTCGAATAAGGAATCTTTCCTTTGCAGATCCCTTTCATACCACTGTTACTGAAAGACATGACGTTCTGCCACGTCGGAAACAAGAGCTATATTGACGGATTGGTGAATTTCGAGAAAATGCACATGATTGGACAGACGCTTCGACATCTCAGGCATTCTCGAAGTCAGCGCCTTGCGATGGAACCTCCACAGGGGAGTTCGAAATCTCATCACAATGTCGCCGACTATATTCGGTAGGTCATCGGATCTGGCTCGGAGCTTTTCTTTGTTCTCACCGACCGAGAGTTTCTCCTGATCGCGTTCTGTGCTCATCTCGAAACATGGGCCCATACGATTACTCCATCGGTGGTGCATCGTGCTCGGAATCGGGAATAACTTATTGATACTTTTCTTCCACAGAAACCTGAAAGTGATCGATAATCAGCGAACCCTGACCAAGCTCTCTCACCAGTTAGAACCGCGAAGGTCGTGAGACGGCCGTTCGCACAATGAACACTTGGCAGACCCATGAGCGGCGCGCTCACAAACGTAGAGACTGTATCAATTGCATTCCATATAGCAACGCGTCGTAGGACATTTCTCTCGCACTCACACTTTCTCTCTGCACATGTTGTCAAGTGCAAAAAATCGGTCCATGCAACGAGTTGATTGATGAATCAGTCCGTGATGGATGGATTCATCGATCGGCTCTTTCCTCACCTCAGAGAAGGAACTCATTCTTGATTCGTCGTCCTCCCCATCCGACTCTCCCAAGCATCGATCTCGGATGCGTTGGAGAACGTCTCATCGACTCGGTCTCCGAAGAAATGCAAGGAAAAACACTTGGGAGTCGAGCAGATGCGAAAGCATGGTCCGTGTGATTGCAGTCACGGACGGACGAGCTGATGCACTCACGAGCACATAGTGATTTTCGGAGAACATCACGAACGAGAGTAAATCTTGAAAGTCGTCCTGCCTGAAATCCTTAAAATACATATGACCGATGACGTCGAACTGTGAAAACACCAAACGTCTTCCCGCGTGTACTCGCTGAAAGTGTGAACGCGGGAAGACGCCAAATGATCTCATGGGCCTCTAGGCCCCCGCATGATATTCAGCCCGTCGTTTCGGTGCCCTTGGTTGTTGAGGTCAACGCCGAGGAAACCGTTCGCCGACAATTTGCGTGAAATCGTGATTGCTGTTCTCGTTTCGCTTCAAGCCCTCCGTTGTCCGTGCAGCCCTTGCGTCCAACGTCAGTTTCATCTCCATCATCTTCACATTTTGATCATTCGCATCGAGCATTTCTCCTACCAATGATTGCAGACATATGATGCTTTTGTAAAATGTAGACATTTTCATATTCTTGCTCGCTTTGCTTAGAATACTTTGCACACGTTTGACGCGCGGCGGTAGAGTCGACTCGGCTCCTCACTCATCGTAGCATGAAGTTTGATCGTTTTATCGCGGCACCAGCAACTCGTAGATAGGCAGAAATATCGACGTCTGCGACTTCCGAGCTGCTACCACAGTGTTACGGACTCATTGAGCTCGGCCCTGGATATCTGTGGTTGGAGGGCCGCAGCGTGGAAAATCATATGGATCGGAGAACATTGGAGGCTCTTCGAATGAGGAGGCCGATTCCCAACGCATATTTAAAAAGCTCCGATAGGTGTGACTGCTCGAGAGTCGTACGAACGCAGGCCCACAATGTGAACTATGTGCAATATTTAAAGGCTCCGACTGAACTTATCCGTCGACAGAGTTGAGTGTTAACGTCATTCATATTTTAGATTTCTTAATTATGAAGGGGAACTTTGTCGAATACCGTTGACCAAAGAGCTTCGCGGGAACGAGTCCTTTCCGGACGTCGCATATCTGCTGAGCTTAGAGATATTCCCACCACATACTCAAGACAAGCCGCGTATTCATCACGCAGTGTGCAATTGGAACGAGAGAAAAACTCATTGTTCAAAAATATTTGGTAAAACGTCTTAAAGATACAATAAAGGGAAAAGTGTATGGAAATGTCGAAAATTCTTTCAGAATTCGCGATGGGCTCGGGCCTCTCGGACTCCCGTGGAAGCGATGCCTTTGCGCCGATAAGCCGAGGGCTTCTCTTCCTTGAGAGCGTTCTGTGATTTCAATACTGAGCCGACGACACAATGAACGAAACACAGAACTCTCATTTCTTCATCATCAGAGGGATCTCCCCACGGAAGGGCACCCCATGAAATTGTCCGACTACCCAGGCGAGTCTCGTATGTACGTGAACGCCCCTCACCGACAGCCAGGGCTGGATCGGATATATCGGATCGCTAGCGGAGTCTGCATTCGCTGCGGAGAAGATGTGGTCTGCAGAAAGTTGGCAGACCGCAGAAACACTCGATCCGATCGAGCACCGTACCGCGGGCTAGGTTATCTTCGAATCTTGACTTCAGCATAAGACTTCGCTGATGCGTGGTGGCGATGAGACTGGCAAGAACGCTCCTGATTACCGAGACTGCAACGGACAATTCAGACAATTCGTTCCCACTATCCATCCGATTCCCCTATTCTTTAGGCGCCCCGTGACAGCCCACACATGTTTTCCGAAGTGAATGTGAACGATACATTCTCTGCGGAAGCCAATCCTACCCTAGCGCATGATATTGCTGATTCGCTCGCCCCAGAAGACGAGAATCGCATTTGAGACGATCAGCAAGAATCTGTCCGAGGCGAGGTTGCGACTGATTCTGCAGGTCGCGAATAATATCATTGATGGAAAGTTGACGTGAACAAACATCGATACGAGCAGGAAGCAATCATAGAGCCCACTGAGGAGAGCCTTTGCCGAATCGAACATCTGGCAACGAAGCTCGAAATGGAATCTTCTCGGGAATACTGTTCGGGAATCGGTGATACACGCCAGGGAAGAGAAGATGCAGGACGACATTATTCCACAGTTCCGGAAAGCGGAGAGGAAGCAGAAATGTGTCTGGAAATTCCCAATGTAGAGAAAGGGTCGACCAGATGACTTTTGTCTCGTGAGAGCGGGGCTAGAACGTATGAGCTCAATTGCGAGACACCGAGTAGAACTTCCAGGGACGTGACATTCAGACCTGTGCGCCACGCCGAGTATTGCAAGTGTTCGCTGCGTTGATGAGGCCGGGGAAGTCGAAAGAGTACCGGAGGATCCCATTCAGTCCTTGGCGATACATGTAGTTTTGCCCATGAGGTGTGGATTAAACAAAAGTGAGTCACTTCCAAAATGGGCCGCACGACTCTGTCGATTCAACGCCATCTAGGCCTTCAGGGAACAACGACCATTGTCAATGACTCTATCCGAAGGAGGTCAGCATATACCTCGCAGCCGGCTCGATTCTGAGCAGACCTTGCGGATGCGCTGCTCGATAGTTGATGCTGCTCAACACGGTTATCTTCCTATACGTCGATCGAAGGCGAATTGACCAGGAATTAATTTCCAATTCGAAAGCGGAAAACTCTCCCAGGGGACGAGTTTCTTCGGGTAACCTAACCTGGAGTCCACCCCAGAGTCTATCGACCCGGCTGATTGTCGTCACAGCGAATTCGAATCCCTTTATTGTGCGCACTTATAGTCTGATTATGAGTGAGACATGAAGAACAACGGCGTTTTTCTTGTATTCGCATGAAGGCGACAATTTTCGCGGCATTTTCGAGCGGATTTCAACTCCACGAAACTTCAAGACTCTGGTTGCGGGAGCCGTAGCTCACTTACATGGGATGGCAGACCCATGAGGATTCCCTTGCGAATCGGCCTACTGAATATCTAGTTTCGGAATTTCGATTCGCCCGGGCGCGGGCGGAAGTCCTGGACACGGAGCCGCATGGATGGAAACACTGAGGGATGGATACCGATAGCGCCTCAGCAGACAGTCTGCAACTGGTATGGCGGACGGCTCTAAGCGCGCCAGAGTTCGTCTTCCGAGTGGGAGGAATGGGGCGAGTCCAAGGATGACTTGGACCCAGATGAAATAATCAATGGCCTGATACATACATCCATTCCGAAATGGCATCATGGATTTTTAGCATTGATTGGATCCCGGCAAATACTGAGCGGGCTTGCGCATGAAATGGAGACGGTGGAGCCAAAGGGGATGGATGGTCGACGTCGGGATCCGTCTCCGAGGAAGACCTCGCGACGGAGCATTGAGGTCGATGCCCAGACAGAAAATCCGACCAAGACGGCCAGCTCATAATCTTAAGCAAGGCGAACACTTGGGGAGCGGGTAATTCTTTGTCTTCGACCGATTTAGGCTCCAATTAAAACTTTCTGTTGATTATGGGAAATATGTCCCCGGGGTCCGACCCAAAAGCTGAATGTCGGGAAAAGCGTTCGAATGTGCTCGGCATTGCTGGAGGGGGAAGGGCGGTTTCTTCCGCCAGAGACCCCGAACTGAGAGTGTGTGGAAGAGAAAGAAGCCGTACGCTCACGAGCCGCGCAAACTTGCCAGAGAAATACTTTTCTCCCACACTATCTGTTTCGACGCACAAGTCAAGAGACAGGACAAAATAGTTGTTCTATGGTGCTCCATGGGATCCAATCCAAGCGGGAATCCATCGGCCTCATGCAGTCCCATTGATCCCGCATTCGATCCGCCTCGGGGAGGACTATATTGCAATCGGGATGAAGGTCCTCGAACACAATTTGATAAGAATCAGCGTGTGAGAATATTGGGGAAAACACCCGTTTCTTCAGAGAGAGAGGCGAGGTCCGCAGGAAACGAAGGAAGCAGAGATATGTGCCTTATACTGATCGGAGGAGACATGAACGCCCACCTCGCTCAGTGGACAGGTGAACAGAATGTCAGGGGGGATCACATGATGGACGTCGTGGAGCAAAACCAGCTCCATGTCATGAACATGAAAGAGATATGCGAGGGAAGCCACACCAGGGGCTAAGCAGTGCTAGATTACTTACTGCGCAATGACAGAGCTCGGGGGTACATCCGGAGCATGAGGATCGATGAGGATAGGATCAGGAGCAAAGAACTCTCCGATCATAACATGATAGACATGAAAATTGAGCTCCCGGGGGCAGTCACCTCGGAGAAGAGGAAGGAGTTCGTGGTCAAAACCAACAAAAGCAAAATCGCTGGGGTCAATGGACAAGTCTCAAGAGGTCGACAAGAGAGAGGTGAAAGAGTTGAATACAGAGACCTTCTACAGGTCAATGAGGACCGCACAAGAACAACCTCGGAGGAGGTTCTAGATAAATCAAAAAGTAGAGCGAACAAGAAGAAGTCTTCAGGGAGGTGGGAGCCGGAGACGAAAAGACACGCTCCCGCACGCGTCGGATCCACCAACCAATAACCAGCTGAGAAGAATCGGCCCCGCGCACGGGGTCTCTTGGATACAATGCAAAGCGTGTATTGCCAGGAATGGTTGATAAATCAATCTATCGATCGATGCTTAACTTCCCTGAATGGGGAGCTGGGCTGAACGGCTCGGCGAAAGGTCTCGTGTAACAGCAATCCCTATGGTTCCGAAAACCTACATAACCAGATCGACGCCGGTGCCATAGTCTTCATGCTTCGAGTCATACGATTCGTCTGCCTGCCGTAGAGGACCGAAATCTGCACAGGGGCTCAGGACACCATGTCGAAGGGAAGCACATGGCTCACTTTATTACATGGCCAACCGGGGTGCATGACAAGGACGGGACGAGAGAAATCGGAGGACACGCAAGCGAAGAGCAGCCTCCGGTGAGAGACTGCGCGCGTCAGTCTAGTCTGAAAAAGAGAGGAGAAGTAGACTTTGAGGACAGCGCCATCACCAGATCCCTGCTCCCGACCTGGGCCACTCTGAGAGTTTCAGGAATTGATGCTAATCGAGGTGCCAGCCAATGCTCGGATTGTCTGAACGACAGGCACGAGCTGGACTGCTTCGTGGGCGTTCGAGTCGGGCTTTCCGAGGGTCTCAAAAATTTCGCTCTCGCTCCGGGAATCGGAATACCCGACGGCACTCCACTGTCGGTGCCCCCGAATATTGTGCCTGAGTTTAAGCTTCCCGGTGCCTCGTTTCTCGAGCAGCTCAATACCTTCTCCGCCGGCATCACCGCGAATTCACCGCTGGGCCGCGGGAAGATCCGTGGGAGGAGATGCTCGGACCATCCGAACGAGGCAGTAGCAACTTGCCATCGGTAGACCGACTCTCCGACTCGAGATTATCGGAGTTGCATCCACAGCTCGATCACGCTGACTGACTTGACTCACTCAACTCGGTATGTTTTAGCAGACCCTCAGTACGATCGAACGAGAAGAAGGAGACCGTCGGGGAATCGCACACTGAGCCCACATTGCGGGTCGGATCAACATGCCGCGGATCTTACTGTCCCCTGGAATTCCTGAGTGTCTGCGCGATTTCGTATGATCATCCCAAGACCCATCACCGGAGGAAGCTGAAAGATGTGACAGCTCTCTCTCTTGATCTCGCTATCTTCCGATGGCGCGGATATATATTCGAACCAAGATCCAGAAGATTTGATTGGGAAGCCTATTTTTCTGGCCATCTACGATCTAACCTAAACCTATAGCCCTACCGGAGGATTTCCCCGAACCCTTGCTTTCAACCCTTCGTCGAAGAGACTCCTCTCCCATCAACGGCGACTCAGTCCGAAAAGGGCTAGTCAAGCTGTACGTTTCGTTCGCGTCATTTTTCGAAGACGAGCGTCTTTGCTCCTGACCCCGCCGTATTCCCCGCTGCGGAGTCCATGACTCCGCGAACAGTTGTCCTAGATTCACCCGACTCCACAACGACAGAGAACCTTAGGGAACATCTGCAAGTGAAAGTTCCTTTCAGGCCGCCTTCGCCGCTTTGATGCGACAAACCGAGTTGTGAATTAAAGCTGGGGGAAAACTTCGAGTTCGGTCGTATAGAGAGTATGTACATATGAAGCAGAGTGCGAGCCTCAAAAGATGTTTCGCAAAATTCCATCTGGAGCGTCATTCATTCTCGCTGAAGCTCGTAGAGTTCCAGAGAGAGTCTGATGAGGTCGCACTCGCTCGCGGAGGAGTTCAATGCCCCTCACAGTATCGAGAGCGCGATCCCTCGTCGTCATTGACGATCCCCATTCTTGATGATCCATTCAATTTCACGAGAACTCAGAGTGAATTTCGTATTCTCGGAGGTGTTATTCATCAGGAATAAATCATACTTTGCTCACTTCTCCAATGGATGGAAGGGCAGGGTCTCCAGGGATGCCAGGTAGTAGAAAGGATGATATTGGAAGAAGGATGCCTGCGCATATTTTCCCGACTGTCCGCCCACGGACCTGGATCGCCAGCAAGCTGACTGGCGGGTCCCCTGTCCCCACGCTGAAGTCCGGGCCAGTAGTCTTTTTAATTAAGGATCCGCTCCCTACCGATGACAGGCACCGTACCCTTCCTGAAGTCAGATCCGGCAACATCTGGCTCTCTCGACGAGTTCACATGGGGCCATTGTTTCTTGGGAGGGCGAGCGAACTCATTCGCTAGTCTTCGAGCTCCCGCACAGGCCCCAGTGACCAGTCTGCTGTCCTCTAGCTCGGAGAGACCGTCCATCCTATATGTCGAGCCTGTTGTGGCCTCGCGGACTACCAAGCTTGGACGCATCTGGCATTCCTCTAATTCCACAGCAGGACATCCTCTCGAAAGGAGTAATTTTCGTTGAACGATTTCACCCAGCGAGAATTGTTCGGCCGATTATGGTAATTTCGAGAATATAGCCCTTCCGTGATTCTCATGATTTACCAAGCTCGGGACTCCATCATAGTACGCGGTTGCGCCAGAAGACGCATCGACCTTGGGGCTTATTTCGAAACTACTCCCAGGAAACCTCAAAAGAGACGTCTAGTCGTAGGAGTACGCATTTTGGGTGCGACACGCGATCCTGGACTCGGCACCACGCCCTCCCTGATCCCGCATTTCCATTCTTTCACTCTGGAGTCCTCGTACACGCATTCTCCTCCTGGAGGCGCTCGCACGCGCGCTCAAAGCGCTTAGGCGAGAGATATTTCTGTGGAAAAACGTGTCTCGCAAATAGGCAGGATTCGTCGTTGATCGCTACACCGGCTGTAGAGAGCGGTTTTAGAGGCCCATACCTCACTACCGTGCCATTGTCCTCGATAGCCGCGTTCATCTCTCCAAGAATGGGGAACCATCAGAAGCTGCCGACAGAGGATCCGGATGAGGGGAGGGGGGCATAGGCAGGTTCCATTTATTGAATCGAATCCTCTCTCGAGGGGTGATCCATCTTCGTCGCCAGAAATTTCGTAAGCGTCGCAGATCGGCGCGACAGCACGGGCACGTGACACACGTTCACGGGAAGCAATATTTGAAGCGAAGCGTTCATGTCCTCACTCCGCTACTCTTGTCGCGGAAAAAGTAGTGGTAGGTACTCCTTCTAGAATTCTAAGCTGCAGTGGAATCGTCTCAAGCCGACATTCTCTTTTCGAGGTTCTCTGCTCTCGGATCTGGTTTCGTTTTGGCGTCCGATATATTTAACTCGAGCTGAGATCGGGTCAGGAGCGTTGCAGGGAGTCGCGCGGTCCGCTTAGGATCGTATCTTCTCTCTTTTTGGAGAACACTTCCGTACGTATGATAGATGATCTTGCTCGTTTGAACTTTCTGCTCTCTGTCAAGAGTTCGCAAGACACTCGGACAGCACAGGGAAGAGGTCAAACACACTAAACATTGAGAAGTGCTCTCCCAGTGCCCTGGTGCGACTTTTCGCTTGACCCCTGACAGGAGGCCCGCCCAAAGATAAGCCAGAAAGTTCCACGACAACCTCGACTACTAGCCAACCGTCGGAAAATTCGATGATTTGCCCTATCGAGAGCGTTCCTCGCCTCCCCATGTCCAGACAGCTTATGACGACGGCTCAGATCCTTCCGTGATGAGCTCACGAAAATGCATCACGCATTCCGAAAATCACTCTCGGCATGAGTCATATAATGAGAGAGGAGGCGTGACATTCCATTTGTATGATCGAAGCGGCCCGCGGGAGACTCCAGACCTTGGGTCGGTAAAATCCGTCACCTTATCGTGCCGGGAATAAACAATTCCCTCACTCAGTGGATCCATCCGACACGGACTGCAAGAGAATGACTCTGCCCGGTCACGCAAGGCAATCGATATCTCCTCGCCTATCTGAGAAAGTTTTGAGCCTTGACGTACGAATCGGAAACGGGGACTCATTTCGCTTTATTTGAATGAACTTTCCCCGATTCGCTCGAAGAACCTGCGATACCTGCGTGGTCAGAGTTTTCTCCAGCGAAATCTCCACGATATTCTGGGCACAACCAATACAATGAATATTCATCGGGGAGATGCAGAAGCGTGCGTAGGGTATCGATTATGATCTCCAGCAGATGAGGTCCGCCCTTCGGCTCGATCCCATAACACAGCTCGCGCAGCTCTTATAGAAGATTTCGGCAAGTCGGAGTGGCACGGGCGTCGAGGAGGATCAAGGAGCTCGCGACTCGAGACATCACGGGTGACTTCCGCTGTCCAGGAAAGGCCGAAAAGTCCTCGTGAAAGAGTCGAACAGTTGGCTTACTGATCCGCTTTTCGCTGTTCCACCTTGTCTTTTTGGAATCGACTTACTCCCGGGTCGCTCACCCCGTTGAGCGTGTGGCTAAATATCCCGGGGAAACCAATCATTCTTTTCCCCTGAGAGTAATAATTAGATTTCTAATCGAGCGTTTTGATCGCGCCAACTCTTCACGGAATCTCCGACAGAACATTGGTCGCGTCGACTCAGTTCAGCAGGTCGGCGGGACAGACGCGCCACAGATTTTATCTGTTCCCGAGTCGAGATCCAGATTGGCCGTTTCGAACGGAAATTATCCGATCCAATTCCCCGCGATAGGGACAAGGAGTGGGTTTTTGTCTTTCCTCTCATAGGTTACGGAGTTCACGCGTGAGAGGTCTGATGTTGCAGGCTGATCCTGTCGGAGGAGTGAATCTGATAAATGTCTAGCTGTCTGTGTAATCAGATGGCTCACGCAGCTCACAGTGGGAGTATAGAACGGCAACGTCGTCCGCGTAGACCTCATATCGCTCAGACTGCACTGAGCGAGAGTCGAGATGCGTTTTTTCACAGCAACAGGTACACGAGCACCCGAATCTCCATCTGTTTGGCACAGCTATGCAAAAGTGATTTCCCGCCTCCCGGGTGATGTCATCCGACGATAAAGTGCTCGCTCGCGAGAACCGCCATTGAAACTTGTCTCGTTTCCAGCCGTGTTTGTCCTGGTGTCGGCGTGTGCGGCGCAGCAATGTACCTTCAGGGATAGCGGGGTAAGACCAGGAAGTCCCTCAGAAACGGAGCGGGCTCTTGTGAGACGAGTGCGGACGAGAGAGCGAGAACGCGCACAGCGGCGGTGGGCGGGAGTGAGTCGGGGGAAGCGAGCTCGGTCCTCAGACAGAGACACTGGATGAGAATCCTCGCTGGATGGGACCGAGCATTAGGAAGCGTGGGAGCAAGGGGAAAAACGGGTGGAAAGACGCGGAACAGGCTCCCAGGCACGGACAGGCAGGACGGTAATCCTCAGACGAGCATCTCTGGCTTCTCAGAGAGCGGCTCGTTTCGCGTCTTGGGTCACGGAGCCCTTGAACCTACCGCCGTCGTCGGCCTTCCGCTCTCAATCTCATCGTCGACGCAGACAGCGTCCTCTAATAAGCCTACCTGGAACGAGCTCTCAAACAGAGATTTCTCCTCTCATTCGGTTCCTTTGGAAGGTCAGGCTCGTCGCTGGAGAGCTCAGAGAAATCTTCCGCTCCCTGTCACCACATAATTGCGTTCGTGTTCTCGTGGGCGACAACCTCGACCATGCGACACATGATCGGATCTGAAATCCCTAGTTTGGGCTGAGTTTCCTCATATTGTCTCCTGGTTGCAGTTCAAGCAGTGCATCAATAATTACACCAACTGGATTCAAGTTCAATTCGCCCAAACGAAGGACCTGACGGTGCGCATGATCAACGCGATTCCCGAGCCCCGGGAGAAACTCGGTGGAGCGCACGGTCTCGATTCTCGTCCAAATCATCATCATCATATCGGTGCTCCGTCGCTGCGAAACAACAACGTGCTCCTACGCAGAGATCTACGAGCTGTGGAGGATAACGACTTGGATTCGTCATCTGAGGAACTCGCGACCCCCGCTGCCCATGTTAAGCACGACTCCGATCATCATTTCAGCGGCCATGGAGCTCAGTTGTCTTCCGAAGAAGGCGCCGTTGCCCGAGGTCTCTCTTGGCAACAATTCAAACGAGAAGTCGTCCAAGTTATCGAGTCGGTGATCGACAGCGCGTGCCAAGGGTAAGTTTCTCCCGGGCCGCCCCCAGCGACGGGCCTTCGTGTGCGCGAGTATGCGCGGGAATTTCAAAAATCACTCGATTATTCCAGGATAACGAACGGCGTTGAGACCATGACTCATCCGGGAGGCATACACGATATCCGCTCGATAGTCTGCATCTACAGCAGTGTTTCGACGGTGAATATCAAGGCCTCCTTCGCCTTGAATGAAATCTACGAGAGGCTCAACAATGAGCAGAGACCCCGCTTCGAGAAGGGACTTGCAGTGCCTCTGCTGATGGCGGCTAAGCGCATTGGAGAAGTCAAGAAGGGAATGGAGAAAGAGATTCCGATCTGTTATTCCCTATTGGTGTGAGACCTATACCTGAGCCGAGAGTTCACTCGGAATTGAATAAATTAGTAGAGAGTCCTCACCGCGGAGAATATAAGTATGTCATTCCCGGGGAATTTCTCGTAGATAACTCTTATCGTGACTGCGACTGAAGCTAATGCTAAGAGCATCTTCCAATCGAAACATCGGCTACAGTGCATGGACCCTCTGGTAGCCTCTGGGAGTTCGGCGTGACGGGTTGCGGAACGGTCTCCGATCCAGACCGCTCTCTCGCATGATCTCCGGGCACAGTCTCCGAATTCCCGAATGGAGGAGATCCGAGAGGACAACGTTCAAACACGTACGCGCCTCGCTGGAAGTAGGTACCCCATACAATATACTTTTCATCTGCACGGGATTTCATGACACGGAGAGGTGCTGGAGAGTTTTCTGATAGATAATTTCCTAGTAAGATAATGGAGCTCGATCAAGTTGGGATAAAACGCGATGGTGAATTCGAGCCCCCCTTGAATTTGATCCACAGCGGATGCTAGGGTGAAGTCTACATGAAAGCCATGACGAGCAGAAGGCAACGACCGCGTTCCTGCCCGGCATGGAGACGGAGCTCTAATTTGCATTTTGGTAGCAATTAAAGTCTCTTTCTCTACCATTTCAAGCGTAAAATAGACTTCTACGTGACGCAGGCATCCAAGCGACAGCCCGCAACGCAAGCGGAAAGCTCACGGGCTGACAGGCCCACTCTGAAATGACTCACAATCCGGGTTCCCAAACGCTTCTTTGATGAGCCACGCAGCCCCATGCGTCCCGGCGGACATCCATGCCGACGAACTTGAGTTCCTTCTAAGTACCTTCCTCCACCACGCTTGCTCTTTCCGGTCCCTTGGCGTTAAGTATTTTGAAAACGTAGCCCGTCCACATCTGACTCTGAAGCGCTAGCCCTTGGAGCGGCTCGCAATCTCAGCGCGAACGGAGATTCTCGGTGGATCGCGCTCGTGTATCTGTCTCTGATGCAAGATCCAACGCTGTCCTAATTTCGGGAATTGACCAGAATGGATTTTGGGCGGAATTTTGAATCAAGATCGTTCGAGCAAAAACCGAATACAACGATACGTATAACCTCAATCACTGGTGGGTCTATGTATTCCGAAGCTTGGAATCGGAGGCAGCATTTTCCCCCGGAAACTCCATCACGGCATTTTTCGGCCTCGCAGACTCCCTTCGGAGAATCACCCGATTGGGAGAAGACCGTGAGCATTCATGGCGGCCGGTGCGACCGAGCCGAATTCCAAGCCCTAATCATTTGTCTAGTGGACGTGCCTCCATTGCCAATGTTTCAGATAGCTGCAGTACTCACCCAACCATTATGAAGTATCTTATGGAGTTGATCCTATACGACCTGACGCTGACGGAGGCATTCTAGCTGACGCAGAAATCAGGGAATAGTTTTAGTTTAGTTAGAATAGTTTCAATAGCTCTAGTTTTCCCGGAAGAGATAGCTCACGCTTTATCCATGTACGAAAGAGTACTATCAAGTCAACTTGGTCTCTCCTCGAAAATATCCCGGCATATCCGCCGAGGGAGATGCTGGATATGCCTGATCATGGCCAGTTGCGCTGTACCTTCGGTCGAATGACATGTTATCCGTGGCTAAGGAAAATCGGGAATATCGGCTGCGTATGGGCGCTTCCGGGCCTGAATCGGACAAACCGAAAAAATCCGCTCTTACATACAGCCGACATACACATTGAATTTTTCCCGTCCGCGGCGTCCCTGAGCTCGTCGAGTTGTCTGGAGCTCTACCGTAAGGGTAGGGCGGAATTACGCAGAGCTTCATTGTAACCTCATGGACATATTCCACCGAGACGGACCGTCCCTTGGCGACGATTTGAGTATGTAGCTCTGTCTTGAATATCTAGCTATGGGAAGCTTGGGAAGGCCTTCATTCGAACTCGAATTCAATCTCTAATGAACGTGGTAGGCGATGAAAAACCGTTTCAGGCATGAAGCTTTCTCGCAATGAATGCATTCAATTAAGGTTAGCTTGCGGCAACCCCCTACAGCGCAGATTCGAATCGTACAGAGGAGCATATCAGCGGTCTTCGGGAACGGAACGGTGGGTATTATGTTCAGAAAGAGCCGTATCTATCGACTTTGGGTCAAGGCGTTCACGCTTTGTGCTGCGAGAACAATCTCCATCATTCTGTAATGGGGTAGCGTCCGATTCGAGTAAATCGAATACCTGATTGATCCGTGTTGAAGATTGTGACGGGCCGTCATGGGTTCGAAGATTTCCGACCTAATTCAGAGTTACCGCAGCTACGGAATTCTCAGCCTCGTCCTGGTCTTCCTCGCGTCCCCGGCTCGTGAATTTCCTGACTCTCCAAGTCGAATACGGTGACATCTTTTGAAATGTTTAAACCAACGAGATGGAGTGCGAAGCCCCCTCGAGTCGAGCTCCCGCGAGTTATGCCGGGCCTTGTTCCGGATGTCGTCATGGGCCAGGACCTGCGATTGACAGCTCGAATCCATTATAACTGGACTGGATGCGAGCCTGACCGGAAGTAGCGAGTGGAGTCTTCTGGACTACGTGAAGGAATTCTTCGCGAGCACATGAGTCGTCGGCTAGAGGCTGGCAAACCGTAGAGAGAGAGCTTCTCGAGTGCCGGCGTGTGCAGCTGTGCGTCCTGTTTGAAGAGCGACAACATTTGCCTATCGATCTAGCCGTGAGGACAGAAGCAGGTCGACTGAAAAACGAATAAGATGTTCTTATGCTCCATGCTATCATGCTCTCCAGATTTCCCGATATGCCCGAACCCGCGACTCCGATTAAACGAGCTCCATCTCGGAGCGCTGATCCGCCTATCGGGCAACATTCGTTCAATAAGGCCTGCGTTAGAGTCGATTCCCCGACGGATGGACTCGAATTGAAGCGTCCAAACTGTGGATTACCAGAAGAGATTCAAATTTTTCGCGGCGACCGCGAAATTCGTGGAAACCGCGATTTTCAACAGTTTTCAGCGATTTCCGGGAATTCATACGTTTAGAGACTCGATAATAAATCGAACTTTCTCCAAACAACCCAGAGGAGTTTTTCCCCTCATGGGGGAATCGGGCTCTCGGAATCGAAGGTGCGCAAAACCTCAACCGGGCTCTTTGGGACTCGGTCATTTCTTGAGCTCGGCCACGGGCTCTAAGACTCGGTCGGATCAAGAGTCGCAACAAAGGATCGAACTTGGAAAGCTCATTTGATTTTGGGAGTGACTCTCGCAACGAATTCGAATCGAATTCAGTAGCTCTCCGCGATTTCGAGGGAATTTCGGGGTTTCCGCGAGTTTATAGTTTTCTTACCGCGACACGCCGCGATTTCAGCGATGTTTCGCCGCGAAAAATTCACATCCCTGATTATCAGATATCACATGGGGGCCAGAGAGTCTTGGCTTTCTTGTGAAAGCGATGGCATCCTGGCCAGGAATAAAGATTTTCTCGTCCCGATTCGGAGCGTTCGATTCCATTATTCCAGAATTCGACACGGCGGGCTCTCAGGGTTCTGAGAAGTTACGCGTCCTGCTCTGTCGAATTCCAGAGCATTGGGAATTATCCCTGCATCGAGAATTCAAGAAGTTGAGCCGATGACTCGGCGGTTTGACTAATTGCGTCTACTTTGACTTGACCCTGGAATCACCAGAGTTTCAGGACTCAGAGCACAGCAGCCGGCTCTTGACCGAGATTTCTCTTCTGGAAGATCAGAAAAAATAAAACGAGCGAGTCGAGGCGGCTCCTTCGAGGAATGGACCCGATACTTCGTAGGCAAACGCAGCGGAAATCACTCATCTTGCATCGCCCAAGCTTCCCGCGAACCGATAAATCCTCACGAGCCGAGTCCCGAGTTTCCCTCTCCCGTCTCAAGGTCCACTGATTGGTGATTAGTAGCAAGTCTGCGCAAATGATCGCAGATCGGCCTCCGAATTTGAATGAAAGCGTGCGAACCAAAAGCCTCCCCGCTGCCGCTTTTCAAGTCGATTAGTCTGGAGACGTCGCCAAGGTCGCGCGTGTCGTCGGGCTCGATGCAGTGGAAACGATCGATTGAGGGAGGCTACCCCGAGGACGCATGAGGGTCGAGTAGGAGAGTAAGAGAAAGGATATGAATTCTGAAGGAAATAGCCCTACTGGAAGCAGCCTCCGAAACGAGCAACAATGTTTGGACTCCATACCTCACTGCTTCCATAACGCACACCATCTAAAAAATCTCCACGGAGGCCTGTATTGCACCGAGCTCGAACGGTCCGAAAAAAATCGCTTTTTCGTTAGAGAGGGTTTTGGGTACAAGATTCATGTAGGAGAGATTCTCAGCAGAGCAGGAAGCAACAACGACACGAATGTTCCGGCAAGGCTGAGCCGATACGGAATGATGCAGTCGCAAACTCCTCAAAGAGAAGGAGAAATAGCGCTTAGCCTGGCGAGCGAGCGAGCGAGCGAGCGAACGATCGACTACCCGATTCGAGAAATCGTCCTCGAGGCCGTGTAACGTCTCTGAGTCCTACAACGATCCGCGGTTCCAGCTCTGGGTCGACGAACAGCATTGCGGATCTCTGAAATTTGAAACCAATACGACTCGAGTGATCCCTCCAAACAGTACGAAGTATCGAGTCGTAGAGTGATCGATCAAATCCATCTCGATGAGGCTCGCAGCCTTCCTCGACGAGATTCTACCTGGAGTCGTAAATAAATTCGAAACCCTTAAAAAATAATTTTACAAAACGCTCCCATGTATTTTCCTCTAAATCATGTGGATGACTTCGATATTCCGGTCCGAAAGAGTTCGGTCAAGCAAAGTCACACGATGCTGATGTGGTCATTCGAACGGATGAGAGTTGGTAGGTCCGAGGGCACTGTCGCCCGATACCCTTCTCAACCTTGACATATCTTAGTACTCCTTGTTGTGGTGAGGAGCCCACGAGTTGTCGAGACTTCACTGCAGGGTCATGGCTCATGGCCTGTCAGATCTTCGGATCATCGAGGCTCGTCTGATAGAGGATAGATGAGCGGAACTTCCAGCCGATGGTCATGGGAGACGGGGAAATAATACTTCGA